CACCACCACCACCACCACCACCACCACCACCACCATCATCATCATCATCATCATCATCATCAGCACCACCATCACCGTCATCCCCCTCCCGTCTTCCCACCCATGCCACAACGACAATTGAAGCGGATTAGAGGCGCAACGCGGCCGGATTCGGTCCGAGAGTCGGCTCCTTTGTGTCCCGCCCCTCCCCCGCACCACTCTTCGCTGGCCTCTTGCTGCAGTGGCTATCTTTAAATTAGCGACATCTCCACATGTTAAATGCTCGCTTCTTGACGTGCATGCGTAGCGACCTACAGAGCTTTTCTTAATCCCTTTAGAGCAAGAGGACAGTGCGGCTTCCTTATTATTATTCATCCGCTGCTTTCGTACGATGATTTCCACTCTGTACGATCTAAATGCATGATAAATCACCGATTAGATGCCAGAACTCGCCAAGTACAATGGTCACTGTGACAAGGGAACAGCTGGTTTCAACATTACTCTGATCCTGTGCCTTGCAAATTCGTTACTCCTTCAAAAAAGCAGTTTTATCGCACCTTTCCGTATTCATTGGCCTGATCACATTTAATCTTACGGTGCTCCAGTCAGTCTTATCTTACATGAAATTTCGACATGTTTTAACCGAGCTAAGTTTGTACAGGAATCATCTTGATGAAAAACTTTTTTCAATAATTGATTACAGTCAAATTTCTTCATTTATCAAAATAAATAAATCGTAAAGATTTATATATTGATATTAAATATAGCACATTTTTCTAATTTTATACTTCGTCAAATTAAAATACTTATTTAGCTAATTATACAATTGATTATCTACCCATAAAGAGATTAAACATCTATAAGTTCATTTACAATTAATTAACAGCATAATATTAATAAGAATCGTAGAATATCGTAGAGCTAATAATATGATACTAAATGTATTAATTATTTTAAAAACCAAGTATAAAATATATATAAACGTAATAAGTCTTTTGAGGTTAGCATTTCAAATATTAGCTTATCTATTCGCAAATCGAACTGTAAAGTTCATAGACTTATGTTATTATATATAATCAAGTTATATTTGCTACAAAACTTGGCAATTGTGTTCTTAAAATGCAGATGTAATTCAGTTTAAAGCTCACGAGACAGTTGGCGTTATACGATCAAACAAAATTTCATTCATTATATACTATATTACGGGAAAAATAGATTACCCGTGTCTATTGATTAGATCGAAGTACCTCTTGATCAAATATTTACAGTCACAGAAACATAGTATTTTCTTAAATAAAAGTTAAATGGTTTAATTTCCGTCAAGATATTTTAGTAAATGTTTATAATGCATAAATTTGCAATATAATACTTTGGTGTACTTGAATATGATAATCGAAAGGATAATGAATTCCACAAAAAGGTAGTTGGTTCAGAAAATTGTGAAATAACGAGAAATTCTGTAGTTAGAAAACATTTTGCTTTATACCGATAATATTAAATGTATTTAAGATTTATTTTTAGATCATTATTAAACATTGTTATTCATAAAAAAAACAATATTCATGAAAGCAAAGTGTAAAATTAAAATTCTCTTGATAATCGATGTGGACTATGAACATTGTACCTCCTAAAAATAAAAATATACTCAATACATTGAATTGAATCGGAATTCTGATTTTAAATTATGTACAGTTTAGTGCATTTATCGTTTTCTCAATTCTTATATGTATATTATATATATATATATATATATATATATATATATATATAGAGAGAGAGAGAGAGAGAGAGAGAGAGAGAGAGATGATTAGATATTATCATATAATACTTATAATTTATTAGGATCGATATTAGTATTTATAGAACAATAATTTATAACTTTAATATAATTCCAAATTTATAATACAAGCAACTTATTATTTGCAAGCTTCATATTATTAAATAATCATTAAAACAGCCCAAATTGATTTATCTAAATATCTGGTAGCAGTAAACAGTTGGCATTTCTTCAATAAATGTCAGTTTATATATATGTTTACAATGTGAATAGCATGAAATATTACTTTTATATTTCCAAACTGTCCAAGTATTAAACGAGTCAAAGAGAAAAACAGAATCTCGAGGTACGTATAAGCCGTGCGACATTCTCTAATCGAATATATTTCGCTTGTGTAAATTGAATCGCAATCAACTGGACAAACTATTCTAACACCTTACACATACTCGCCTACGCGCTCTTGCACAAATATCGAGAAAATTAGAAAAAAGTCGAGTAACCGTCCAATAGCCGAGTACATAAAATTCCTTCTGGACATATATATATCGAGGTTGCAGTTCCTCGGTAGCCAATACCGTAGAGAAGAGCGGAAGGGTCGGTTGCTCGGAAGCTAAAGTGTATAACGGCTTTAATAGCGGCAGATCACTACGCAGTAAACGACTGACGGACGACAGAAGATTAAAGTTGGCCCGTTAACTCGATCTAATTGTGCCCCTCAGGCTTGGCCTTCCTTTATTAATCCACCAAGCGAGCGCACACTCATACAAACTCGCTGCGCCACGATTCTTCTTCTATTTCACTTCTATCCGTTTTTTACTTATTCATTTTCTCGCTCTCTCCCTCTCTCCCTTCTTTAATCATACACAAACACACAAAAACTCCCCCCCCCCTCTCTATGTATATATGTATATATAACGTGTATTCTTATTATTATGTTCATCGAATGTGCCTTAGCACATATGAAATCCGAAGTTTCATGTACTACAATCTTTTTATTCGTATATAGTATTAGTGTCTGGAGATGTGGATACGCACGATTGTAGCCTTGATTTATTATATTCTTGTGAAATGCAATTTTACGTAAGATTTGTTTACTACCGTATCAATGTTTTAAAGTATTTCCGATTGTACTAAGCGTCCGAACTAAATAAGTAGACTAACGTAAACTAAATAAGCACATATGAATTCATATTGATTAAACCTAATGAAAAAAGAGAAAGGATATAATATAATAATAATAAATTTAACACTTACGTTTAATACATATTTTTAACCATAGAAATGTGAGATTTGTATTAATTTTATAATTATTTCATTATTTAAACAATATCCGAATGTAGAAGGCATATAAGAATTGAAGGGCGGACTCAATGATATTCAATTCGTATAATTATTTTTACAATGTTGATTGTTGTAATATTGCAAATCATCTAATACATAGGTCATAGATACTAATTAGCTGGCAAAATTGGAACGAAAATAATTCTAAAGACATACGAACGATAAGTTTAATCATCTTCAAGATAGGAAATACTGCTTAAAGATCTTACAAATGTGTTCAGCATAATGTGGGATATTTATCACCATTAAAAGCGCATGTGATAATTATGATCTGTAATACCCAATGCAGGTTTGTAAATTGAATGTATGTCTTATAATAAAGCAATCACGAATGAGAATAATCGCGCAAATAAAGCAGCAAATTCATGTGGACAAGTGAAAGACGAGCCGTACAAAATTCTTCGGAAAGATAGAGCAATGACAATGAACGCTCCTCTTCGCATTACGCAATTAATTTGATTTCTCGCATGTCGTGCGAACCCCCCGTTTTTGCATTCCTCGCGCTTCTTATGCATCGGGCTTCACAGAACGACGTCGGCGGGAATTTGCGTGGCGACGCTTTTTGCGACGGATCGTCGCTCGGGCGCCCATCTGTCTCCTCCGCGCCTCTTGCGCAACAGTTTTGCGCTTCTCTTTTCGCACTCGTCTCCTCTTTCCCAGGCACTTTTTTCACGACCCCTGCAACGAAAAGCAACGAGGGCCCGTTCCGAGTGATTCAGCTGCACCACTATCCGAAACTCGCCTCATGTGGCTTGCCGCAAGAAGCGATTCGCTACTATTTCAAAAGTTTTAACGACCTTCCTTTAATCCCCGTAATATGCGCGATTGTTTTATTAGGTAAATGCGCGACTGGAGCACGTATAGGTGTTTCGTTAAAAACCAAACCAAAAAACAAAAAACAAAAAAAAAAAAATTGAATAAAATCAAAGAAACACCTGCAGAATAAAACAAATACAGAAATTCGTTGTAAAAGCTGCATTTAACGCAGGCAACTTTGCCGAATATTTAATTAATATATAAACAGACTTTTTTTTATACATCTCATAATTACCGAAGCTTAATCGTAATATTAAAAGTATGCACAAGCACAAATAGCTATGATTTATGCATTGAAAACTTACTATAATTTTCTTTAATTTTATGCATTACAACGATTATCTAAATTCCAATCCAGTTTATTACTGTTGTTTTTCTTCTTTTTTTTTTCTTTTTTTTAAATTCATTTTCAATGAAACAGTCGATGACCTTAGCTCCAGAGACCTTAATAATTGAGTTACACATTATCCATTACGATATTACGAAAAATCTCTGTCAAACAAATCATGTCCTTCGCAGATGTACACGATATAATCTTGGTTTCTTACGTACAAATAGATGGAGATAGATAGATGGAGATAGATAGATAGATAGAGAGAGAGAGAGAGAGAGAGAGAGAGAGAGATTGCGTGCGTGCGTGCGTGTGCTTGCGCGTGTGTGCTTGCGTCGGAGCACTCCCGCGAGAGAAAGTGAGAGAGATGACAGCATCAAACATTGCGTATCCAACGTTTTTATTTAATTGAAGCGAGTTGAACCGCAAGGGGGATGGCATCCTTGTGCGGAGAAGTCATATGCTTTAAACGCGATTACCCGGGCGTATAATGTGAAGCATAGTGTGGGAGAAAGCGCGAGCAGCACGTGCCTATGTGTCGCGCGCACGGATTATAAATATAATATACAGGGCGCGTGTATGGCAAATAATAAGTGGGGGCTTGTCGCTGTTTGGGCGTTACAAAGTGCGCGCTTTTCTTTCGCTGGGGTTGCGCAGATGCATTCCCGCAAATTATTATGAATCAATCGAAAGCAAAAGCCGCTCGAGCCTCGTAAATCACGCTCGAGTTCATAGAAATCTAGACTCGTGTGGCTGTATTATATTGCACCCTGGTTCACTAATAAATTTCCTCGCTTCGTTCATTATGACGAGATGGGAGAATGAGAGGGATAGAGAGAAAGAGCAGAAGGGCATTTTGGATGTCTTTGCAAGTTCTGTTTTACGTTGTCCTTTGCCTGCGATAATCTTGAATATTGGTATTTACACGCTTATCTCCATTTTATACCAATGAATTATTTCCTTCTAAATTGGAACATTAATTTCATTCTTGTGTAACTAGCTTCTCTTCTATAGTGAATATGGTTTACCAAAGGCTCAGTTTTATGAATAAATTGTAAAATTATATTTTTCATACAATTCCTTTTAAGTTTATCGAATTGACTATTAATTTACCAAACTGACCTTACCCTGAGACCGAATGAAAATCACTAATATTTGTATTATAATGTTTTGTATCAAAGACGTGAGAGCTTCGATCCCACAGTATTACTTGATCCAAATTAATATTTATTTACCAAGTCAATGAATGATCTTAAACAAAGGAAATATATATATATATATATATATATATATATAGATCTATAAAATAATTACAAAACGCAGCATGCCTTCACTCTTGGTTTTGCACGAGCGTTCATTCCGAAAAAGCAGCAAAAAAAAACAACGACAAGGCAGCTCGCAAGACGAGATTAAACGAGAAGTGAAAATGTATTTGATCTGAGAAACGAGGCCCATTTTGCGAGATTGCTCACTCCGCGAATCCACGTTTTGCTCTGTCGGTAGAGCGATCGTGATGCCTCGTTAACGTTACGAAAACCCCGTACGCCTGGAAAAAGATGTACACTACGTGACTCAAATCTCATTTCCCGTTCTCTCGTACTTGTCGTATTTCGAAGGAAAGCCCCACATATATCTATACGGCGAAGGTCTGCTTTGTAGAGAGTACCTCGTGCTTGGGATTCTCCAAAGTTCTCTACTCTATTTTCCTCATTGTTCACCCTTTTGCTTTCCCTTCCTCGACCTTCCCATGCGTCTCTTTCACTTGTCTTTGAGATAGCGATTGAACAGTCGCTGAAAAGGTCTTTTCCCATTCTGGCCCCTCATATAATGGGAAAATAAATTAAGGAGCTGAAAATCCAAATTTATTATCCAAGTAACGTTAATGGACTCGTTTCGTCATCACCTACGATCATTAATAATTCAAGATTTTTAATGCCACCTGGCAAGAAAGCACGCCAAAACTTTAATTTTAACACTTAGTTTGGGAAAATATACCCATCCTCTTATAATCCATCTTAATAAAGTGATTCAATAACGGCTCAATACTTATTAACTTACTCACGCGTAAACATTGGAAGTGAAGCTAAATGGTATTATATTCATGCAGAACGTGTCACAATCGATTTAGCGGTTAAGGCATTACAAAGTAAATATTTTACCGACACTTTAACTATGCAAACAGAACGATTGTCATTCGGTGTGGGCCGTTTGGTTGGTTCGCCACTCTCGAGAAGTCCCCGAAGGTCGCCTTCGCACTCGCCCTGTCCGGATTCGCCACGCACCGATCACCAGGATACCGAAGTCGACGTCGACGCCGAGGACGAGGAGATCGACGTCGACGTCGAGGAGGTCGGGGATGAGGATGACCACGAGGGCACCGGCTCCAGTCCCCCGAGGTCTGTGTCGCCGCCCTCGCCACCCGCCGTCACGCGAAACACATCGTCCAATCTTCCGAGAAGGTTCGTTGCGATGCTCCATTCTTATGACTTTCGCCGCGAAATTGCAATTGATCAACACGAAGCTTACTTATAACACATTAATTGCGAGCTAATAGAAACTCGCTCTATACATTTTATGAGCTAATTCATAAATAATTTTTACACTTGATATTCTTTAACCATCCAATGATGATGTTCATATTATCATACGATTGTATCATTCACTAAACTAGCTCTTATCGCAATATGCTATAAAACAAAGTCAAATTAATCGGCACTTGTCATAAATAAATAGTCGTGTGATTTTCAAAAAGTGCAATAAATTCATCTTAACGGGAATGGGGTTCGTAGTGATTTTTGGAATGAATAAAGAAACGCTGCGTGCGAACAGAATGCACGTAAACATCGTCTAAGCATGCCTATAATAATTTCTATATAATTGATAAATTATTCAACGTCACATAACTTCTGCTTTTTTATTGAAAAAAAAAAAAAAAAAAACAATCAGATCGGGCGATTCGTTTAGCGTCAGTGCTCTCCTGAGGCCGGATCCGCCCTCGGCTCACTCCCAGAACAACGGCAGTAACCCGGTTTCGCACCAGACGACATCCATCCTCTACCCACCACTGCATATTCAGAGTGGCGTTGTCTTGCCGCCGCACCCGCACCATCCCTTAAGTTACTTACACCCCCAGCTGCTACCCCATCATCTATTGCCGCCGCACCTGCATCCGCTATTGCGTGGCGTCCATCCGACTACTGCGACCCATCCGGGACTCCACACGACTCACGGACCCCACGGCCTTCATCATCCCCATCCGCTCGGGGATGTATATAGCTGCGTTAAATGCGACAAGATGTTCAGCACCCCTCACGGGCTCGAGGTGAGTTCGCGCCTTTAGGATTTTACCGTGCTTCTGCATTGATTAGACAACGACTGTGATTTGCCAATTGCATTGTCATTCGGTCTGCGCGTGTGATATTTGAATTCTTAGTTTGAGTAATGGGCAGGGAGAATGAATTAAGTCTTCTCATGGGTGGTCCGTATAATTTCGAGCAGACGAAATTAATGGCTAGTGGTACGAGTACTAAGTATCATCTTGAGATTGAACATTTTTATTGCGACCGACTGTGCCTTTGAGCTAACAGTGGTTTGAGAACTCACGTATTATAGAATTAAGAAGCATTATGTAATTGCTAGGTAGGTGTATTGTTCGACCATTATAATTTACTTAACATTTTCTAGATAAATTTCAATTAAAAATTAACGCTAACTCGATTGCGGATAGCTGATAAAAGGATTTCATAATTTAATCACTTCGTTCTCGTTAATCATGCATGTTTCAAAGTTACTCTCGTAAAAATATAAGCTCAACGTCTGTCTGCTCTATGTTTTATCGAGTTTTAATCATGCTATTAATTATTGGATATCGGTGTCGGGCTCCTAATAATCTTTCATCCTCGTACAGCTAATATTATTAAATAACGGATAAACATCGATTGACCTTCTTTATTGGAGTAATAATGTCCCTTTATAGAATCTAATTCGACGGTGCAGACCGAATGAGAATGAAAAGTAGATAATGAACCAACTCGTCTCGTATGCCACTAGGCATTCACTAAAAGCCTACAATATACAATATGCCGTAGGTTCACGCGAGAAGGTCACACAATGGCAAGAGACCTTTTGCCTGCGAGCTCTGCAACAAAACCTTCGGCCACGAAATCAGTCTGACGCAGCACAGGGCCGTACATTCCGCGGAGAAGGTCTTCGAGTGCAAACAGTGCGGCAAAGCCTTCAAGCGATCGAGTACACTAAGTACTCATCTGCTCATACACTCGGATACGCGACCCTATCCCTGTCAGTTTTGCGGTAAGCGCTTCCACCAGAAGAGCGACATGAAGAAGCACACCTACATACACACAGGTAAGATTAATATACATAACGTACTTTCATTTGTATTCCCGATGAATTTGATAATTAACATCTTCTCGGTCTTTTAAATAGTTTAAATCATTAGGCTGTATTATAAGGGTGAGATATGTAATATATTGGGGAGAGTTGGATAATAGGGGTGGGGATGTTCTGGAAATTTTATAATGCCTCAGCATCATAATTTTAAAAAGTAGGAATAAATTTGATAATACGTTGACAAATAGGCAGAAAAGTTTCTTTAGTAAAGTATTATTCCATATTACTCATTGCAACGTAAAAGTCTTGTATTAGGACAAAATTACACCAGACATACGGGTATTCATCAGATATCGAGAGAACTTTAATTATCATATCGACGTCCGTTGATTTATCAATGGTTGATAGATTTATGTAAAAAATAAAAGATTAAAGATCGTGAGAAAACATTGGCCTAATAATACACTGATAAAAAAAGAAAAAGAAAATCGATACGTCAGTCACGATACGCTATCGTGAAGTTAACTGAATTATGCATTAAAAAAGAAAAGGAGAAGAAAAAAACTCTCGGTAAAATTACATGTACACGTTCGAATGGTCGAGAAAATTATGTGAAAAGCTGACAGTAAATCGTTCTTGCAACATTAACTACCATCCTCCCGTACACACGCAGAAAGAGAGAGAGAGAGAGAGAGAGAGAGAGAGAGAGAGAGAGAGAGAGAGAGAGACACACACATGCACCAAAGCTTGCATAGACACGTGGTATTCTTGTGCGAATGATAAAATTCAAGCAGTAAGGCCATATTTGCGCATATCAATTATGACGAGAGGGCGACTTGGGCCCATTAATAATCCAAACGCGGAGCGTCTGGACCAAGTCGCGGCGTACTGCCCTGAATAAGTTAATCTCGTACGTGCGGTAAGAGCAGGCGCATATTCCTGGAGTGGAGGCGCTCGTGGGATGCAGAAAGGCAGCGTCGAAAATGCGAACGAGGGGCTGCTCGAGAGACCCCTTGCGCACTTGCCGTTCGCGCTTCGTAATAATCGTAATGTCTTTTTGGGGCGCTGTGTCCCTCGCGGCATCCACCCCACCCTCAGCCAGCCGAGCCCCCCCCCCCCCTCAATCCCCCCTCCCCGACTCTCATCGCCCCCACCGTCACTCACTACCCCATTCCACTTACCTCGGTTATTCAGGGCCCGATTCGTTGGCTCTCATGAACGTCCTTTCCTGGGCGATTATGTGCGTCAGAGTGTCGCTCTGGTCTCTTTTCTTCTGCCTCGTCCCTCGTAGCCCTGGTGTAATCCTAAAATAGATTTTCACTGCCGACAAATTGTCTGTGGGAATCAACTGCTTTGGGATCAAGTGCACGCCGATTAACGACCTGTAGTGTACATATGGAGTCTTGTGTGTGAGAGCTCACAGTCTGTTTATATAACTTTACTTTACGGATGAAACCAATTGCTGAGCTCCAAGTTCCTTTGATGAGCCATCGTTCGCTTTTCGTCAATTTAAGCCTAGCTAATTGTTTTTATTTTTATGCCATAATCTGCAATTTTTCATATTTATGGCCACTTGTCGATATTTGGCAATCAGCAGATATATATTCTTTCACCGTTATATAATTGTTCGTAATTTATTGGGCTGTTATCATTGAACCGGATAATCATAATACACTTTATCCTCGGAATTACTCTTTCTAATTATTAATATAATATGTTTTAAGTTTAACTAATATTAAATTCGTATTTAATTAATAGTCTTTTTTAAAAATAAGGTTGCATTATTAACTATAACGAGCTTTACTTTCTTTAATGAAATGGGACAAAACAGTGCATCATTAATTATACAAAATTGCATGATTTATTATTCGTGGGTCAGATTTTTTTTTTTTATTAAACTTAATGATATATTTATAATATCCATGCTTAATTAATATTATTTTTCATTAATTATATTTTTGGGCCACCTTGATAAATTGATAAAATATTTTATTTTGATGTGAATGGTTTACATGGAAATAATTTTGTTATTTCAAATTATCGAATTATTATTACTGGTGCTAGAAATAATAAAAAACGAATAACATGTGAATATACAAATATATATATATATATATATATATATACAAATATATATATATAGTCTCTGCTATTAAACTGTACTTCGGTTTAAGCTGCATACAATAATTACAATGCAAATTTCCATAGTAAGTACTATCGACTAAACCTAAACTCAAACACGATAGACAAGTACTTGACATATGGATTATTGATATTTGTGAATCATATTGCCTTAAGCCGGTTGATGGAGGAGGATAGTGAAGGGACGCTTGAGTTTTAAGGATAGATTTCATCATGAAAAATGAAAAATACATGCGTTAGAATGTAGGTGGAGCTAAGTCGAGTAGAAAAGGAGAGAATGAGATAGAAACAAGAACGAAGAATTAGGAGAGTGAGATGCAGAGAGAGAGAGAGAGAGAGAGAGAGAGTGAGAGTGAGAGATCTGTAGAGAGAGGGGTTACGAATGGTCGTCATGGTAACCCTACTGATGTCTTATCAAATTATCACCTTGTCCTCTACTCCGCGTCTCAGCCTCTCTTACACTCGTTTGCGAATTATATACATATATGAACACAGGAGGTTTCTTCCTTTCATGGGCCATTGCGAACAGTAGAAAGATACAAAGAGACATTGCCCGAATGGTCACTTGCTAACCACCTATGGGACTATGCTGTCACGCACGATGTTTGTGTTTGTGTGCGCGTGTGTGTGGGCACACGCGCGCACTCCAGTCTTTATAAAAGAGGCTGGCGGGGAGAGTGGAGGGTCGCTTCGGAACATTTAATTCATTATTCAGGTCGATGAAAAATTCAGAGCCGCCGTATGTAGTGAGCGTGTAATACGCGCGGTCCGAGCTGCCCGGATCCGAGGGAATTACCTTTTTTTCTACCCAGGGAAGGACGATTGTCGCTTTCTCGCGAACTTTACTCGACTATATTTATGTGCGCGCTCTCTTTTTTTTTCTCTTTAATTACGCGACCATTTTGACTTCTGTCCTTGTTCGTTTTGCCGGGCTGGTACTTTCCTCTGGTCTATCGTCAAGAAGAAGAAATTAGGTGAACGCGTCAAAATGTGGAGTTAGAGAGGAATTAAAACGAAGTATTTTTTATAGTGGCACCATTAGGATGCAAAAGGATAAATATTATTGCGCGCATTAAAAGGAATTTTTGACAAAGATCATTTGATAATTTGACTTCACGTTCATCATCTAGCGTGGATTGTCTAAAAGCCAGGAAATACTCAATTAAAATTGTTGGCTTATTGCATTAACATTGACATAATTTTGCTGATCATTCATAAAGTTTAGTAGAAACATTAAGAGCTGATGGTAGGATTTTACAAAATTTTGCATATTAAATGAAATATTAAAACAATTACGTTCGTAAATAATGAAAATAAAAATAAAAAAATAATAATAAAAACCTCGTATTTTACGAAATTTTAATTATATTTAATTCATATTTTCATTAAATGTAAATCGAATTTATTAAATTATAATTATGAGTTTAAGAATGAAATTCTTATTGTATGAGTGAGCATATGTAAGAGCTTCTACATGTATTATTCACTCAGCAATTAGGTATAATTTGAATTACCGTTTATTCCATTATTCCACCATGCTACATCTAATAAATCTAATAATTGGACGCTCGCAAAGCTTCAAAACAGCAAAGAAATTTTTTTTTTTTTTAGCCAGTAAATCGTTGATTTTTTATAAGACAATATTAAAAATACCGACCAGAGTATTTAATTAGAAGGTGAAAAAATTATCATTGCAATTCCCCTCTACTATTCATAATATTAAATTTCAAAATAAAATATGTATTATATATTATCATGGCATATGTATTATTTTATTAAGTCGCACTAAGTCGCACTTTGAATCGTAAACATTTACGTTGTACACATCATTATTAATGTCGTGCAGGAAAACAAAATTTTAACGTAATTAAACGAGATCGAGCATAAGAAAGCGCACGCAGAAAGGCATAGGTCGCGCGGAAATATAAAAAAACAGGGAAGGAGCAAAGATAAAAGTCATTGCAAGCGTGGCATGAACACGCGTGCGAGGCAGCGCGACAAAGATAAGGCGGGAAAGAAAGGCAGGAGCATTGGGAAGAAAGAGGACAGCGAGAGATCGAGAGAGTGAGTGGGCCATGTGCAATAAGGGCGCGGCACCCGGCGAAGGATTCCCCGGGGACCGTGGCGTGGCGTAACGTAAAATCATTATTAGGTAGGTGGGTACTAGCTGACACTGTCACTGTGTACGTGCGCGCGTGTATACACACGTTGGGCACATGATGGCGGGGGCGGGATGGGGTGATGGGGTGATGGGGTGATGGGGGCGGTTGGCAGGGGGGGGGGGGGGAGTGGTAGTGAGGCAGGGGA